TAGCGTGACAGTGATCCGTGACAGTGATCCGTGCCAAGGTCACACCAGGATAACCCGGCAATAAGCAGGTTCACACAGCGATAGCGGCCCCTGCCCTGCTCGTCTCCCTCCCCTTCCTTCCCCTTCTCCCCCCTGCTCCCTCTCCCACTTCCACTCCCTCTTCTCTCCTCTCCTGGCTTGCACCAGGGATGAAGGATGGAGCATTCCCTGGGACTCAAACCCACTCACTTTGAGCAGGGCAGTTCCATGGATATTCTCTAGAGGTGGAACTGAGTCCAGCCAGATGGATTCTGGACTGGAGTCCCTCCATGTGTGGGGACACACCTACTGGGAGTTAGGAGCCAGTCCCCGTGGCACTGGAGCAGCTTCACGGGGCTGCATCCTGGGTTTAGTGCAGTTGGTTTCCTTTGGGCCAGCGATGAATGTGTGTATCCATCCTGGATGGACATGACAGGAAATGGGGTGCAGAGGGTGGCAAACATCCCATTGGGGTCCAGGCACATGTGGCAGGGGCCGACCCACAGCAAGTGGCTGCTGCAGGTAACATCCACAGCCCAGCCTGGGGACAAGCAGGTGATGGGGCAGAGTCCAGGCATGAACTGGCATGGCATGGTGCTGGAGTGGGTGCTTGAGGGGGGTTGAGCCCCTGATCATTGCCCCTTGCCCTTCGTGCCGCAGCAGGGGAGCCAGTGCTCCAGCCAGTGCCGGCTCACTGGCTGGCAGTGAGTGAGCGCCAAATCCCTGCCCTGGTCCTCAGGGGTCTGTTTAAGAGGTGGGGGCTGTTTGCCCAGCTTCGAGCTCTGGGACATGTGTGTTTTGGTGATCCTCAGTCTCCAGCACTGATATCCCATGGGAATGGCTCTGGAGCGGTGAGTCCTCACTGGGGCAAATGGGCACTTTGCCTCCTGCTGCTGCTTTTGGTGTCAGTCACAACCAGCTTTCCCCGGCTCATGTTCCCATTAGTCATGTTTGTTATGCAGCAGCATGGGGAGGCTCCAGAGGTGAGCCCCCCAGTCTCACCATGCAGGATCCACGGGGAACACAGACTGGGACCATGGACTTGTTTTTTAATGATCATTAGTTGTTCTGCAATTTGCAGGGTAATCAGGTTTTTAGACCTTGCTCCCGTGGCATGGATTGGCACACGTGGAATTTTATGACATGAAAAGTACTGTCAGTGATCTGTTGTGGGAGTGGGGAGCACCCAGTCCAGGCCTTCTCCAGTCATTTCCCTCATCCCGTGACTGCTAATCAGGTCTCCTGGATTTGAGCTTTTAATCCTTCTCTGGACCATGAATCTCACGGCATTTTGCATTCTCCCCAGGCTGGGCATCGTGTCCCGCCGGGAAGAGCCAAGGGGCAGCCGCTTGCCTGTGGCTCAGCTAAAGTCCTGCCAACTACCCAGCTACTGTATAACACAGCGGCCCCGTGCCCAGTGTGCACATTAACTCGCTTCCACAACCGGCACAGTCCCGGTGGTTGCTGCCATTCCCCTCCGGAGCATTCCCGACACAGAGCATCTGCATCCCGCTGGGTCTGCAGCTCAGAGGGAAGCATTGCTTAAGGAAGCTCTAAAACCCCCCTGACTCTTAAAAGGGAGGAAAAGGAGGTGCTAGGGTCTGAGGATGCCCCACTGTGGATCCAGGTGCTTCGTGCATCCAGGCTCCGGATGCACACGATTTACAAATGTCGCTGAAATGACCCCCCCTGCTTTTGCACAGCGAGACGCATGGCTGCTTTTCTTCTTCCCAGAACACCTCCTGCGGAGAAGGTAGTGGTATTTATTTGCCTTGCGATTCTGGAGGAATTTTGAGCCCCCGCCAAATGCTGCTTTTTCCCCAGAAACTGCAGTGCCGTGGTTTTCCATGCATTCAAGAGCGCCTGCAGACAGAGAGGGGCCGCCTGGTCCGGCAAAGCCCGTGTAGCTGATGGCTCCCAGGATAACGCTGCTGTCCTGCTGCAGAGCCATGCCCAAGAAGGATGATGGTGCCAAAAAGCCGGCATCAGAGACGGTGCCGGACCAGCGCTGGAAGCTACAAGTCTTCTACCTCTGCTTCTATGGCTTCATGACGCAGATCCGGCCCGGGGAGAGCTTCATCACCCCTTATCTCCTGGGGCCTGACCAGAACTTCACCAAGGCAGAGGTGAGACATGGGCACCCTGTCCCCCATCCTGGGGTCCCCCTTTCCAGCCACTGTCACCACCCTGGGGCTGCCCAGAGCATCCCTCTGTGGTTCTGGCGTGCGTGGGGGGTGTCATGTGCCAGGCACAGTGGTGTGGTGACTCATGGTGGTGCTTGCTGGGGGGAGAAGGTGGTGAGGAGTGGGTCCCTGTCTCACTTGGCTGTGAGGTCACACTGTCTCCTAAGTCCCAGGTTCAACCTGCCGTGGCATAAGACCTCGTGCCCAGGCTAGCAACTGGTCGGGGTGAGGCTTGATCCCTGCCCACCTGAGCAGCCTGTTAGATGGCAGGGGGTTGCCAGGCTGGGAGAAGCCCCACCCCATCCCACTGGGGAGACCTTTCCATGCTGGCACTGTGCACCGCTGGGCTGCTGGCAATGATGGAGTTAGACAAGGAGGGGCCACATGTCATCGTCCCTCGACCAAGGGATGTTGGCCCCAATCCCAGCCAGCTGCTGTGTCTGTGGGAACGCTGCGTCCTGGCGTGGGAGGGGGCTGAGTCTCAGCCAGACCCCCAGCCGAGCACGCTGCTGGTCACATTCCTCCCTGAGGAGGTGCTGCAATGGAGGTCAGCAGCTGGTGCCCACACAAACCACATTCCTCCAGGCTGGGGGGCAACCCCAAGGATGTATCCAGTGCTGAACCCCTCCTTGCCCACATGGCAGGTGACCAATGTGATCACGCCGGTGCTGTCCTACTCATACATGGCTGTGCTGGTGCCCATCTTCCTGCTGACGGACTACCTGCGCTACAAGCCAGTGCTGGTGCTGCAGAGCCTGAGCCACATCTCCATCTGGCTGCTGCTGGTGTTGGGCACCTCCGTCCTGGCCATGCAGCTGATGGAGTTCTTCTACGGCATCACCATGGCTGCCCGCATCGCTTACTCCTCCTACATCTTCTCCCTTGTTGCCCCGTCCCGCTACCAGCGGATGGCCAGTTATTCCCGCTCCTCTGTCCTCATGGGTGTCTTCACCAGCTCGGTGTTGGGCCAGCTCTGTGTCACCTTGGGCAGCGTCTCCTTCCTCACGCTCAACTACGTCTCCTTGGGCTTTGTCAGCTTCGGCCTCATCCTCACCCTCTTCCTTGAGCGGCCCCGGCGCAGCCTCTTCTTCAACCGGCCTGGGGGGGCTGGTGACGGGGCTGCATCCACGGAGCTAGACAGGATGGCTGAGGGGGATGGCAGGGGGGGAGCACGGGGCTGGAGGGACGCAGTGCTGTGCCGAATGCTGCGGGAGGTGGGAGCATTGGCCAGGCAGCCCCAGCTCCGGCTCTGGTCCTTGTGGTGGATCTTCAACTCAGCTGGGTACTACCTGATGCTGTACTACGCACACATCCTCTGGAATGAGATCTCTCCCACCACGGACAACCGCCGGGTGTACAACGGAGGGGTGGATGCTGCTTCCACGCTGCTGGGTAAGCTCATGTGGGATGGGGACACTGGAGATGGGGGCGGGACACCCTCATCCTGCTGCATCCCCTGGGAATAGCTGGGGACAGTGGGGATGTGGAGGGACACTGCATCCCACTGCGTCCCTTAGGAATGGTGGTCCTTATGGAATGTTTGGGAATGTAGGGGGTGGTCTGGCTTTGGGGATCACGTGATCATCACTGGTCTGGGTCCCAGCCTAGGCCACGTGGCCCCTGAGGTGCTCACAGCATCCTTCATCCCTCCTCAGGGGCCGTTGCCTCCTTTGCCGCTGGCTACATGAAGATCCGCTGGACACTGTGGTCAGAGCTGGTGATCGGAGTGGTGACAGCATTCCAGGCGGGGTTGCTCCTGCTCATGAACTCCACCACCAACATTTGGTTGTGCTATGTTGCCTACGTCCTCTTCCGTGGCTCCTACCAGTTCCTGGTTCCAATTGCCATGTGCGTGGAGCCCCTGGGGATCTGCTCCCACCCCGGCGGCTGGGTTGATTTCAGGGATTCACCAGTGCTCCCATTTTTCCCAGTTTCCAGATTGCTACCTCCCTCTCCAAAGAGCTCTGTGCTCTGGTCTTCGGGGTCAACACCTTCTTTGGCACCGTGCTGAAGACCATTATCACTGTCATCGTGGCCGACGAGAGGGGCTTGGGCTTATCTGTGCATCCCCAGGTAGGGTTGGGGGGGCATCTAGGATGGAGGTGGTCCCTGAATGGTGTGGGATGAGGGCAGGGCTTCAAGTGTTGTTCTTTCCCCCCTCCTCTCTTCCAGTTCTACATGTATTTTGGTTACTTCACGCTGCTGGCCGTGGTCTACCTGCTGGCGGCTGTCGGTGTGGGCATCCGGCACAGCCGCCGCAGGCAGCCGGCGGAGCTGGCCTTGGCCAAGGAGCCGTGCCAGCGCCCCGTGGAGATTCCAGCACAGGAGAAAAGCCCAGAGGCAGGCACCGTGTGAGCCTGAGCGCTGGCACCATGACACCATGGCTGGCTCCTGGCTCCCTAAGTGAGCATCGTCATCATCACCGTGTGGTTGGTCTCCTGTCCCGCTGCTGGTCCTCAGTGCTGGTCTGTTGAGGGTATAACCCTCGGGACATGTTTTCTGCTCCATGGAGACAGGGCTGTGCCCCTTCCAACCCCCAAACACAGAGCACCATGGGATACCACACAGGGATATGGATGGGGACCCCATCCCGCTACATCCCCATCATGGCACAGAGCCAAGCTACAAGAGGATGTTTCTTTATTCAGTGCCTTTAGAAAATGGTTTATAGGACACAACCAACAACAAAAAATAATATAAAGATCCACAGGCTTTAAATTGCATTAATTACACAAAATACAGTAGACTGTAAGAAATAAAGACCGTGTGACTCGCACAGCTTTTATGGTAATAATTTCCATACAATAACAAAAAAAAGCTAGTTACAGATTTCTCTTTTTTCTTTCTTTTTTTTTTTTTGGTTTTTTTTAGCACCTTGGATTTGCCCACACCAATTCTAACCAGTTTTGCTGCGCCTTCACCATTCAAGCCCAGCAAAGGTGGCATGGGGAGGGGGGATGGCAGTGCCTGCCCTTGATACCACACGTACTCAACACGCACACACACATAAACACACGCCAAGGGCACATCTGGCCACACATCAGGGCCACCCCTTCAGCCCAGTACCTGTTCTGGGCTGACTGTGGCTGTACCTGGGCTGCAGGGGCACGGACAGAAGTCCCGAGGGTGTGTGGAGGGGATGGGGGAGACCAGACCCCCACCAGAGCTCTGCTGGCTGGGAGGTGGAGGTGAGGATGATGATGGGATAGTCTTTACCTGGGGAGGAGGGAGACCATCTGAGGGAGCCCAAGCACTGCCATGGGACAGTCCCTTGGGTGGGATGCTGGGATTTTGGCTGGAGAAGACCCCATGGCCCCAGCAGCAGAGATTTGGGTCCAACACCAAGCTCCTGGTGAGGACAGTGTGGGGCTGGGGTGCTGGTCAGGGAGCCCCCACAGGCTCCTGGGGAGGGCACCTGACATGGCAGCTCTGAAATCTCCCTGTCAAGCAGCCTCCCAGCCAGCCATGCCAAAAAGAGCATCCAAGCAAGTGGGGGAATAAGCTGAAGTGGTTAAATATTAGAAGAAGAGTGAGGGGATGAGGAGGAGGAGGAGGAAGGCAGCCAGCTCATGGCTGCTCTGCCCCGGGTGGCACCCAAGCCCCTGCCGATCCAGGGCAGGGGCCATGGCAATACTCTTTGGCTTCAGGTCTGTGGGAGAAGAAAACCCTGCGGGGCGAGAGCAGGCACGTGGAGGGAGCTGAGGACCCCAGGGGTGCCGGGGTGCAGGGTCCCCGCCCCTCCCTGGGGAGATGGGGGTACCCAGGGGATGGGAGGGTGGGTGTCACTTTTTGGCGGCGGTCATGAAGCTGTTCTCGATGCAGAGGACGATGAAGGCGTGCTGGCAGCTGCTGGCCACCTGCTCCAGCAGTTTTCTGGAGGTCAGTGAGGAAGCCTGGCCGGTGACGGCGCGCTCCTCCGTTCGCCACGTCTCGCAGTAGCTGTCGGGCAAGCGCCGGCCCTTGGCATCCGAGCCGTGCCACACACTCTTCTGTGGCCTGGAAGGATGAAAGGTGGGAGGCTGCTGCTGCACCCCCCATGCTCCAAACCCCATTTCCCCATCGCTCAATCCCGAACTCACCATCCCGCATCCCGCAGGACATCCCGGCCGTCGAAGGAGAGGATACGGGTGCCGGCTCGCAGCGGAGCCCCGCTGCCTGTGAAAAGGGCTTCCCAGTTATTGAAGAGCACTTCATCCTGTTGGGAAGAGTTGGAAAATAGGGGAGGGGGAGGGTTAGCCCTGCCTTCACCCCAGGAGCATCCCAGGAGCTACAAGCCCCAGCAGCCTCTGGGAAGAGGAGATGCTTCATGGATGAATGGGGGCTTCCTTGGCAGTGGTGGGTTAATGGTTGGATTCAATAATCTTAGAGGTCTTTTCCAACCATAATGATTCTATGATGCTATTCTGTGATCCCTTGGAGCTCATGGAGTGTCAGGAAGGGAATGGGGACACACCTACCCGGAGGTTGACGATGGGGACAGCGGCACGGTCGGCCCTGCGCACGATGCTGTAGAGATCCTGCAAGCGTGAGGAGAGGAAGGCGCGGAAGGTGCCGGCCAGCCCGACCTGCCGGGCTTGCTGGAAGCACTGGAAATCAGCGCCCCGGATGCCACGCATGCCGCCACTGAGGGGGGTGTTCAGGGCCACCAGGTGAAGCTGTCAAGAGGGGACAACAGGGCTTGAGGGACATGCCTTTGGCCACCATCATCACCTGCCCTCGGCCAGCAAATGGCACTCACAGCAGGCTGGAAGTCCTGGTGCACGTGGGCAGCCACGGGAGCCGGATCCGGCCGGCGGTGGATGTAGTAGCTGTTGAGGAGCTCGTCCTGGTGGTGGAGCAGGGGTTGCTCAGGCAGGCGGTGCTGGTTGGCCACCACCTCATCCCCACGCCAGGGTCGGGCAGTGGCGGGGGGGACATGGTTACGGAGGGGGTGCAGGGGCCCGTGGGGCTGGGTGCCAGCGTAGTGGAGGGTGGGCGGCTTGTCGTACACCTCGTTGTCCTGAGGAGGGGGAGACAGGCTGAGGGGTGGTGGTGGTGCCCCAAGTGGGGATGGAGATGGTTGGGGATAGAGATAGATGTGGTTGGGGATGAATGGAGACAGGGGTGGAGATGGAGGTGGTTGGGGTGGATGGAGATGGTTAGGGATGCAGGTGGAGAATGCTGGGGATGCATGGAGACGGGGACAGAGATGGAGAATGCTGGGGATGGATGGGGATGAAAGTGGACATGGTTGGGGATGGGGACTGAGATGGTTGGGGACAGATGGAGAAGAGGATGACGATGAGTTCGGATGGAGATGGCTGGGGATAGGATGAGCATGTATGAGGATAGAGAATGGGGATGGGATGAGGATGTATGAGGATGAAGGATAGGGATGGAAATGGGGGATAAGGGTGGGCATGGGGAACACAGGACTCACCAGAGCTGAACTGGGGATCAGGTTGTGCTCCTCCAGCTGTAAGGGCATGACACATCAGATCCCAGGGGCCCCCTTCTTCTCTTCCTCACACACAGGTGGGGGGACCCCCGAGCATCACCGAGAGTCACCACCAAACCCCCAGGGTGGTGCTGTCTGCACTCCCCAAGAGCCGGGTGCTGCGACCCAGGATGGGGCTCCCCTCTGGCCCCCCCTACTCACCAGCACCCGTCGGAAGCCCCCGCGCAGGCGGACGTAGAGCTCTTGCCGGTCAGTCAGGAAGATGAGGCTGCCCTCGGGCAGCTCGTGTGCAGCACTCAGCATCACCTGGTATGTTGGCATGGCACGGAGCTGCGGGCACAGCACGGCGGGGGGCTCAGGGACCAGCCGTCTGGCACACGGGCAACACCCTGCCCAGAGCCCTAACTCACCCCCAAGGATAACCCGCTAGTGCCTGGTGGTCCAGGGGGTCCTGGTGGTCCTGGGGGTCCAGGGATGCTGATAGCTGTGAGGGGAGAAGGGTGAGATGTAGAGGGATGCAGCATGGGGCAGGATGCAGAGGTGCAGGAAAGGGTGCATCAGATGCAGCAGGGAAGGATGCAGCGGGGGGCAGGGAGGGATGCTGGGGTACAGGGAGAGATGCTGGGGGATGCAGGGAGAGATATAGGGATGCAGAGACAGATGCCAAGGTGCAGGAGGGATGCGGGGGGGTGAATGGAGGGATGTGGAGGTGGCACATGGAGGGATGCAACAGGGCAGGTACTCACCTTGTCTGTGGGGACCTGGGAAGGAGGGTGGACCAGGGGGGCCGGGAGGGCCAGGGGGGCCCTGCCGCCCCTCATATCCAATACCAGGGGGACCCTGAGGTCCAGGAGGCCCTGGTGGCCCGACAATACTATCCCCCTTGGGACCCTAGGTGGAATGAGAGAACATCCCTTGTAGTAAACACCCCAGGGATGCCGCCCCCCGCCATGCCCCCCTTGCTCCCTGCCCTGTGAGGTACTCACTGGCAGCCCAGGGTATCCCTGGGGCCCTGGAGGCCCTGGCAGCCCGGAAACACTGGGATTGTAGAGTGGGGTGCTGCCCGGCTCACCCTTCTCACCCTTGGGACCTGCATCTCCCTTGTCACCCTGTGGGATGGCACAACCTTAGGGTGAGTGTCCAGGGCACACTCCAGTACCCCAAATCATGCTGGGTTCCAGCCACCAGTGTGCAAAGGCCTTACCCGCAGGTTGGTGCCAAAGTGAGTCAGGTCATAGGGGAAGTGCCCTGTGAAAAGAGGGAAAGGAGAGGAGAGCAGGGATGGGCACGAGCCACCCCTTGCCCGCCTCTGTGTGTGGGGACCGATCACCTACCTGGGGGCCCTGGGGGTCCGGCATCACCTTTCTCTCCCTTCTGTCCTGGGAACTGGTGGAGACCTGTGGGCAGCAGCAGGGATGCCATCTCAGAGCTGTAGCATCCCAGCTCAAAGGGACCGGGTTTTCCCCCAGTCCTGTCTTGCTGAGGTTCCCCAAACTGCCCAGATGGGGCTGGGAGAAGATACTCCCTTACCAGGAAACGCTGGCAGTGCAGGATGGCTGGAGTCACTGAAGGTCTGTGGAGACGCAAAAGAAGTGGCTGCAGAGACAGCAGCATCCCTGGGGACCCCCCTCAAAGCTGGTGACAGTCCAATGTGCTAGCCCCAGACAGGAGGCACTGGGGGACCCAGTCACCAGCACCTCCATCATGCTGACCGTGTTGTTACTCACATTGCCACTGTTGTAGGCTATGCTGCCAGGGGGCCCAGGGGGCCCAGGAGGTCCTGGGGGTCCTGGGGGACCCTGTAGAGGGCAAGAAGATGTGTCAGGGTCCTGCAAAGTGGACAGTCCCCACCATGGGGGGGGACACCAGGGCCATGCCCTGCTCCAGAGGGCCAACCAGCCCCTGAGAGAGGGAGACACGTGCCCTTCGCCTAAGAGATTGGGGTCCTCAGGGAGACCCTTGTTGTGTTTCCCCCACTCTGCAGGGCCAGCAGCCAGGGGGCTGCAGCAGTGCTCACCCGCAAGCCCAGCACATCTGCGGGGTCACCCTTCTCACCCTTCAGCCCATTCATGCCAGGACGTCCCTGTGGATGAGCAGCACAGATGAGCCTCGTCCCCGTCCCCCTGCCAACCCCTGGTGTCACGTCTGATGCTCCAGAGTCACCTATGACACCCTGGCATTGCCTCCAATGCCCTGGTATCACCCCATCCCTCAGGGACACAGCAGGGTTTGGGGTTCAGTGGATGAAAGACATGCAAACAGGGAGCAGGGATGGGGTGGAGGCGATGGCTGAGGAGACAAACAAACCGGGAGCAGGTCTTACGGGTCTGCCTGGAAAGCCGATCTCTCCCTTCATCCCTGCTTGTCCTGGGGGACCCTGGAAGGGAGGGAAGATGAGGATGAGGATGCTTAATATGGGAGCACCCACTGTCCCCCTTTGCCCAGGATCATCCTTGTCCCTCCCCATGGGATACAAGGAGGATGGTGACAGTGACTTACTGATGGTCCCATTGGCCCCTGCAGCCCCGGCTCCCCCTGCAGATAATGGAGAGGGAAAGGGCATCACCACCAGGACTACCCAGCAGCTGTCACATGGGGATGTGACCCCCGTTCCCACCATGCCCCCACCTTTTCTCCTTTCACCTTTGCGGTGACCACGGTCCCATCAGGGCTGATGATGACACCGGGTTCCCCCTTCTCCCCCTGCAAGAGAGGAGGAGGTGCAAGGGGACATGGAGGGGCCAGGCTCCCTCCTGTACTAGGGCTGGTGTCACCAGCAGGACCTGGCGGCCAGCTGGGATTGGGGCCAGAAGTGTGACCACCCCATGGGGCAGAGGTGGCCTGGAGCAGTTACCTTCAACCCTGGGGAGCCCTGGGGACCAGTTGACCCCTGGTCTCCTTTTGGTCCCACTGGACCCTGCAGGAAGGACACAGAGCCCATGTCATTTCCACTCCACCAAAGGCAGACCCCAACCCCCTCCTCCATCACCATCACCCTGCGGCAAAGCGCAGCAGGACCAGCAACCAGAGCTGTCACCGAGGCCACCCCTGTGGTCCCCAGACGTGTCACTGACTCACCGGGAAGCCGGCGTGGCCTGGTCTGCCCTGCAGAGAGAAGCAGAGATGCTTCTAAGAGCAAACCCCCTCTTTCCAAAAAACAGGGTGCCCTCCTGGTATTGCTGAGGGGTGGGCATGGGTGTCAGGAGGGCACCTACCTCTGGACCAGGAAAAGCCACCAAAGACTTCTGCAGAAAGAGACAAAATGAGGTTTTTCACCCCGATCTTTGCTCTGCAAGTCAGAGCTCCTGGAGAGGTCTCCCTCAGTCCCCCCACATGATGGCTGCTGGGAACACCCCTTCCTCCCCCCGAGGTTTAACTTCCCCCAACTGTGCTGAAGCCAGGTGCCACCACTTACATCTTCACTTGAGAGAGTGATGACCTGTCCAGGGGGACCGGGTGGCCCTGGGGGGCCGGGCAGCCCCACACCATCTTGTCCTCGCTCTCCCTGGAAGACACAAGCCATCAGCCCTAGGGCCACCACCAGCCGATCCCCATCCCCAGCATGGTGGCACCTACCTTCTCACCAGGGCTGCCTTGGTCACCTTTGGGTCCCTGGAAGGAGAAGCAGGCAGGGGTGAGCTTCCTGCTTGGCACCACACGGAACCAGACTCTGGCTCACAAGAGGAGATGCCCTCCCACCTCCAGCTCAGCACCACCACTCTGGCCACCCCACTCTGCCTCTAAGGTCCAGGCAGCGAGCCAGGCTGAGACAGTTTTGCGTGGTGAGTGGGGTGGCAAGGTGATGAGGACAGGTCCTAAGGTGTAAGGGCACCCTTGGCACGCAGTGAGCCAGGTCCCAAAGCAGGGAGGGGGAATTTCGGCTGCTGGAGATGGAGCTGCTGCAATCAAGGGTGTCCTGCCAGCAGTGAGGGGGCTTTTGGAACTGGGAGGCTGATGCTCCTACCTGTGGTCCAGGGAAGCCCTCCAGGCCAGGACGTCCATCCACACCAGGCATGCCAGCATCTCCCTGCAATGAGGAGTAGGAAAGAGAAGGATGCAGTAGGGAGCAGCCAGCCCCAGGTTGGGGAGCAAACCCAGGTGCTGGCACACAGCCCATCCCAATCTCCCCATGCTCCTACCTTCGGGCCTGGCAAGCCGGGCTGTCCAGGGCTGCCGACCTCTCCCTGCAAGGAAAGAGGTGTCAGAGCAGCATTCCTACAGGCTGCCTGTAGGTATGCTGCAAGGATGGAGCCAGGGTGAGAAAATGTTGCAAGGCTTCCTCACCTTCGCCCCTGGCAGTCCTGGCAGCCCCTGCAAGCAACAAGGAGACCATGAGCATCGCATGATGACAGGGGGCACGATGGCAGGGAATACCCCAGGATGCCCAGGATGGAGAGGGCAAGAACACAGCTACCTGTGGCCCTTCAGGTCCAGGTGGTCCAGGGGTGAATGACAGCCCCGAGCCCTCCATGTCACCCTAAATGGGGGAAGAAGGGGCTGAGCCGCGTCTGTCCCCAGCTCCAGCTCATCCCCCTCGCCATCATTGCAGTGACCACTTACAAATCCAGCCTCGTAGCCTGGCCCTGGCGGTCCCGGGGGCCCGGGAGGCCCTGGCTGCCCTCGGGGTCCGATGGGCCCAGGAAGGCCAGCTAAACCCATTTCTCCCGGCGGTCCTGCTGGTCCCATTTCTCCTTTGTTGCCCTGCAAAGGGGACAACAAGGGGACAGATGGAAGGTGACAACGGTCCCTGCCTGGAGCCTGCAAGCAAGAGGCAGTACATCCCTTCCCAAATCTTCTTTGGGACAGGACACAGATGCTCTCCACGATGCTCTCCTGTCTGGGGGCTTTGTGGGAAGGGGCACTGCCCAGCTCAGGTATCTTTCATCCCACCAGCTCCCCATGTAATGTCCACAGTGGCCACCAGAGGCTTGTCTAAAGTCATAAATGTGAATAATTTTGCACATGTGGCTGGAGCCAATGCTGCAGCAGAGCTCGGTGCTGGGCAGGGATGCTTGCAGGCATCCCTGGGCTTCCTGATGGTTCTCGGAGCACCAGGATCGGTCCTTATACTCACTGCCACCCCATCTCCCCCTGGGTGCTGGCAGAAGGTTAGAATTAAGGGTAAGAAACCTTAATTTTTGAGATTCTTGCTCCCAGCTCAGGCTGCAGTGGATGGGCCATCCCAAGGGGCAGCCTGGCTCCCAGCAAGCCTTTACTTTCACCTTTAGGGAAGCGTGGTGGAGAGAAGCTGAAGCAGGCAGACAGGAGAGAGTGATGCACAGATGGGGTGTGGGTACCCAAAACCCTCCCGGCAAACTCTCTTCTGTGCCTTGAAACACGCTGGTCAGCTTCCCTGCCTGCCTCTAGCTGCAGCAGTGCCTGGAGCAAAGTCAAGGCAGGGTGGCAAGAGCCTGGTAAGCATCCTTTGGGGGGTCACCAGCTCTGTGCACCCTTGAGCTGTGGCACTGACCTGGGAGAAACACAAATACCAGCATCCCCCTCCCCATTCCTGTGCAAGATGCCCCCCAAGCAGCATCCCTGCCTCCAGTATGCAATGGGACTCCCCCAGAAAACCCAGCCCAGGCACAGTACCTTGGGTCCCGGTACACCGGGGAGGCCGAGGTCACCCACGTCACCCTGGGGAAAAGGAGAAGGAGGGAGAAGAGGGTGTGAAGAAGCTGTCCAGCTCCAGGCAGGAGCACAACGGTGCTCCCTAGCTCAGGAACTGGGACCTGCCAGGAATGTGCCAGGAGTGTTGCCCTGTGAGAAAGCCATCACATGCTCCCAGGGCACGTGGGACAGGGGACACTCACCCGCTCTCCTTTGGGCCCTGGCTGCCCAGCCTCCCCGTCTCTTCCTGGAGGACCCTGAGGACCCTGAAAGATCCCAGGAGCTTGTTCCAGCACAGGGAAACCCCATGGGGCTGGCGGGCACTGAGCCCCCTACTGCTCAGGGTGGCCACAAGGTGGCCCTGGGATGGGTCCCCGTGCCCACTCCATACACCTACCGCTGGCCCTGGGGGTCCAGGGATCCCATCCCTGCCTGGCAGCCCCGGTGGTCCTGGCAGGTCCGTGCGGTTCATCCCGAATCGTCCTGGTTCCCCTGGCAAACCAGGCACGCCAGGTGGCCCTGGGGGACCGGGTGGCCCACGCGGACCCTGGAAGAGAAAGGGGGGCCATGGCTGAGGGTGTCCCCCCACTCCCAGCCGGCAGGGCAGGCACTCACCCCCACTCACCCGCAGGCTCTCCAGGTCACCGCCGAAGCCAGAGCCCTCCATGTCAATGAAGGTCTGAAGGAGAAGCAGGAGGGTGATGTCAGGCACAGGGGGCTGCCCAGGGGCTGTCAGCAGTATCCCTCACCTCTGGGGCTTGATGGATCCCCCTCAGACCCCTGTGTCCCAAGGGGCACTCACCAGCTTGTCATTCTTGGAGGAGGGTCCTGGTGGTCCTGGGGGGCCAGGTGGTCCAGGGGGTCCCCTTGGCCCCATGCCTGGGTCACCCTGGCACAGACAAGAGAGCACAGTTTGTGGGTGCAGCCAAGCTGACAGTGAGAGGAACAGGAGGCAGCAGCATGTGTCGTGTGCTGCCTCCCAACACCGGCACTGGCACTCACCTTCTCCCCCTTCAGACCCGGCTCTCCCGGCATCCCGGGGAACCCCTGGGGCCCCATATCACCCTGTGAAGGGGAGCAGGGTGGGGTCAGCAGGTGGCAAGGCAAGGGGGTGGCTGTCCCCCATCACCCTACCATCCCCCCCGCCACTTACAGGTTTGCCGTCCTCACCAGGATCTCCCTAGGAATGACAGAGAGGAGACAAGTCAGTGTGCAGGTGGGTAGGGTGGGGGGACAGGGGACACCCCAGGGATGGGGGACTCAACTCACGGGCTCGCCATCCCTGCCAGGGGCTCCATCTTTCCCTGGTGGCCCTGGGGGACCAGTGACCTGCTCCACCACTGAACCATCAGTGTGCCGAGAGAGGGTCCCGGGTGGGCCGGGGTCACCTGGTTCCCCTTTTTGGCCCTTAGAGCCAGGGTAGCCAAATCCAGCACTGCCCTGGGGAGGAGAGGCAGATGGGGATGGGTGGCACATCCCTGAGGTGGCAGCCTCAGGCTTTGTCCCAGCTCACCCAGCAATGCTCACCTTGATGCCCAGGTCTCCCTTCTCCCCCTGAGGATCAGAAACAGAGCGGAGCAGGTGTCAAACATGGACATGTCACTGACACCCTCGAGTCCCCAGGGACCGTGCTCTCACTCACCTTTTGGCCCTTGACACTGCTTGTCCCCATGATACCACCAGTCCCTGAGTCCCCTTTCAAGCCACGTTCGCCCTTCTCCCCCTTTTCACCTTTGAGGCCGGTGCCTGTCGGAAAGGAAAAGGGAGCCGGTTGTGCTTGGGGATGGCCACGCCACCACCTCCCCACTTTTGTGCCCCTGGGAAGGGGAAAGCTGCTGGAATTACCTCCCATGGAGACCCGCAGGGTCTCCTCTGCTCTGGTCCTCTCAGCTTGCTGCGGGGACCCCCCACTGCTCCTCGGCCCGCTGCCCCCCGCCACGGGGGGAGAGGTGACAGGGACAGCATCCACCAGCCCTGGGACACCCTGTGCCAACAACGAGGGGACACCGTGGTGCCGTTCACCTCCCAGTGCCTTCCCATAAGGAACAGGTGCCGGGACACCATGAAGCATCCCATCACCTTGACCACGGAGGGCCCTCATCCCACTGAAATTCTGTGGGCAACAACTCACCCCGACCTTCCCCGAGGGTTGGTGTCCACCTTCTGCCCCACTGCCGAAATCACCGGAGAGCTGTGTGGAGCAGGGATGAGAGGTGAGCTGGGGGCATTGTGGGGGGCACTCCCTGAGCCTGCCCCACTCGGGCTGCCAGCGCTCACCTCCGTGTCATCCTCCTCTTCCTCGCACTGGCGCTCTGCCGCCCGCGGGTCCCCTCGCAGCTTCAAATCGGCAATGACCCCCTGGAAGGAAACCATGGATGGATGGGTGACACAGAGAGACACATCACGAAGCCACTCTGCCATGATGTGACCTGTTGTGCCACTTGGCCACCGTGTCCTCAAGTGGGAGGAGAGGGAGGGATGAGATCCGCTGTCAACAGTGCGAGCAGCTGGATGAGGTCACCACCCAACTGGGGGCATTTGCTTGCAAGAGGAATTTATATAATTTTTATTATGTATAAAAATATATTTGTAATACATTATATTTATTATATCTTTAACTTAATCTACTTATAATGTATTCACATTATAATGTCACAGCTAGCCTGGCTGAACTGCAACTGCCCTGATCCTTGTTTTCTCAAGCCCATTATGTTTCCTTGCCCGGACACGGCACACTGTGCTTTCAAGCCAGCCCAAATATTATTTTAGGTGAGTTGCCCAGAGAAGAGACACCAAGGAGGAATTATCTCCCCTTTCCAAGCTTGCTTCCCACCATGGTCCCTTGGTCCTCCCCACCAGGATCAGAGGGATGGGTGGCATCCCATCCTGGCAACATCCCCAGCAGCACAGCACCCCTGTGTCCCACCTCAGCAGCAAGGACCTAAGCTGGGTTCTGGGATGTGCTGGCTGACCCCACTTGCATTGGGAGCTGTGAGGTTTAGGCTGGTACACACACACCCTCCCCAGCTGAGACCAGGATGCTACAGGGGTTTGTATCCTTAGGAAGGGATTTGTGGTGATTTCTTGAATAAACAAGTGGCCTGGATGCACAGAGTGCTTGCAAAATCCAAATAAACAGTAAGGAAGTGCAGATTATCCTAGGAAATACAAAATGTGGGCTGCAGGGACAAGGGCCTGCCAGCGGTCCTTGCATGAGGCAGGCAACCCTTGGAAGAAGAGAAACAAGGAGCACAGCTAAAAAGGCCCCTGTAAAAGCACTGCTGGGTGGCTAGTCGGGTCCTGGCCCCTCCCTCTTCTCAGCCCACCTGGTGCCAGGTCTGGCACATGGCTTGTCAAGCCATGCTGGTGGTGCTGGGCAGGGGCTGCGAGGTTGAAACCTGGGGCTTGCCAGGGGCATTGGAAGTAATCCAGTTCCAAGCCCTGAACTGAGGCATTCCCATGAGGGATGGTTATAGGGGCCCTTTTTCAGATTGTTTGCTCCAATAAAGGGGGCAGCAGCACTGTAGATCTTACAGTGAATCCACAGAATCACAGAATCATTCAGGCTGGAAAAGCCCTGCAGGAGCAAGTCCAACCATTCCCCCAGCACCGCCAGGTCCCCCACTAAACCATGTCCCCAAGTGCCACATCCAGCTGCAAACAAACGCTCCTGCCAGACCCCATCTAGGACCCCATTACCCTCTGGGTAAGTGCTGTCCCACGGGCTTCTGCATCACCCGCAGGCTTTGCCCCCCAGGTTCCATGCCACTGACACAAAGGTGACTCTGGAAGGAGCAGAGATGCCAGGACACCCCTCCAGCTGCCTGCCAGCAGCTCATCCTGAGGCTTGACCCAGGGCCAGCTTTTAATCTGCTCGATGCCCTGTTAGTTCCAGATAACGCGAGTCAGGGCTGGACAGCGATGGAAACACCACGAGGCAGTCAGATGCTGCTCCCTTCTCATCCAGCCAAAGCGGTCAGCCTCCTTCCCTCGATGGCCAGCTATTCCCCATGGGAAAACCGGGGGTGGGCGGTGGGATAAGGGGTTTGGCAAGCTTGGGAGCATCACCTGCTAAAAGGTCTGCTCTGCTCCAAGCTGTTGCTTTGCCTTCCATATGGTGCCAAACCGCCTCCAGCTGGGGAGAGGAGATCCTCCAGGGCCATGACCTGGCCCTCCCAGCATGTTCAAGAGCAAAAAAATTGCTCTTCAAGGGCAAAAAGTGGCTCTGCCTGAATCCCAGTGCACACCAGTCTGTAGCCCTTCAATGATTAACCCCTTCCTGGGGGAGCTTTCCCAGACCAAAGCCATTCAACTGGGAATGTGGCAGCACAGTCAAGATGATGTTTAAGCTCAGAAACGTACTTTGCAAAACTTCAAGAGTATTGCCCCCCTCGGCAGAGCCTCTGTTGCTGGGCAAATCCTGCTCAACCCAGGAGAAACCTGAACATTCCTCTCTTCAAGCACTGCAGGGGATTTCCATGTCAGTTGAGTATTTTCCCCACACTTTCCATAAACCTTATCTAGAACGTGAGTCCTGATCAAAGCACAGGCTGAGCTATCACATCCCTCCTCACTCTCCAAAGCCTTCCTGGAGATACCGCTCAGCATCAGCCAACAAAGATATACTCCAGCCCAAGCATTTTTTCCAGCTAAGAGATATTTTCCCAGCCAAGGCAGCTCCTCTACCAAAGGAGTTGAGTATTTTCAGCAATAGTGAGATCTGAAGAGGCTCTGTGAGTTTGCTGGGAAAAGGGACGGGCAACGGTGGCTGCTGTAGGGCACCCCCATGTCCTCCTGCCAGCCCAGCTTGAGAGCTTTGCCTTGGTGAGCCCCAAGATGATAAAATTAGAGGCATCTCAAGACACCTTTTCCCCCATTTCAGGTGTCCCCTTCCCCAGGGACACACACCGAGTGTGGCCTCTGGTTGTCTTCCAGACAAAAAGGACAGTTCAACAGGCACAGCCGGTGTTATGTCTCTCGAGGCTTCTTGGAGATGCACCTTGGGGTGACCCAAGGCCTTACCTGGTATTTATCCGGGTCAGCCCCTCCAGCCTGAGCAACAAAGAGCCCGGAGCCATCTTCCAGCTCCATCTCGTCTGGGGAGCGCTCAAAGTGGACCCGCTCATGCTCCTCGCAGTCCAAGTAGAGGATGACTTCATCCTCCTCCACGCTGATGGCAAAGCGTGTCCACTGGTTGAGCAAGGTGGGCACGGTGAAGGTGGCTGCCGGATACGAGCTGGGCGAGCCCGGTTCCGTGTAATAGAAGATGATCTGCTGCTTGCCTGCCCGCAGCTCCGAGAGCTTGACGCCCACGTAGATGATGCTCTGCGAGGAGTCCGTGATGGCAAAGAGCACACCGGCCCGGGGGGTGGTGGGCTGGATGTGGAACAGGAGGGAGAAGTCCCGGTAGAAAGGGCTTGGCAGGTGGTACCGGGCCACCTGGCCCGTGTTGGCATTGGGACCGAAGACATAGCCAGGGTTGTTGTCAGGGCCATAAATTTTGAGGATCTCCTCCGGTGGCGGGTCTCCGATGAGCTCCAGGAGGCTGACCTCGGCACTCAGGTTCTCTGCAGGAAGAAAGGAAGGGGATGGTCACAACCAGCCATGCAAGGATGGTCACTCAACAAGGTGCCTTGGGGGGACACCCCTGGCCACACCTCCCCCAAATGCAGTTCTTCAGTGGCTCCCTCCGCTCTCCCTCCCCAGGGACCGAGATTTTCCTTCAGGCTGTGGGTTGGCCAATGCAGCAACCTTGAGCTGCTCCCATCAGACCATTCAGATGTGACTCCCAAAATGCACCCAATCCCTGCAGCTGGCCCTCCAACTGCAGTTGGGACACCATAGCATGGTTTGCGTTGGAAGAGACCTTAAAAATCATCTAATTCCAATTCCCCTCCCATAGGCAGGGACACCTTCCACTAGACCAGGTTGCTCAGAGTTCCCTGGATGGGATAAAACCAAAGGGATCTTGTCCACGTTAGGGGGATGTTGCTGGAGCACCAGGATGTTGAACAACCATGGAGCCCTGAGGAAGTGTGCTGCACCCATACCTGCTCTGGGGTCACAGTGACCCCTCACATCATCCCGGAACAGCATCCTAGGGTCACCCCCGCTAGGAATAAATCAGAACCATCCCCTTGCAACACCCTGGGAACGCGGCTCAAGCCAGCATGCCCCGTCAGCTTCCCAGATGCTCTCAATTGGCGGTCGCCTCCTTTCCCAACTCCTACTGAGAATTAGAGAATTAGGGAAGTTCTGCTGGAGACCGTCTCTCCTCCCCGATGCAGCTGAACATCTGGTCAGGGTGAGCTGGCCGTCTGTCCGCCAGCTCCCGTTGTTTTGGCAGCAAGCACATCCTCATCGCCCACACACTGGGTGCTGGATTCCTCCTCTCCTATGTCAACTGCTCGGGGTCAGTGCCAGCTCCATGGGAGTGAACATGCCGGGTGCTTTTTAACCTCTCATTTCCTAGGAGTGAGGAAACCCAACCACCCTGGCTCTGAAACAGCTGAGGGATCTGCACTGGAAATGAAACAAATGCTCAGTGCTGATTTTTGGCCCAATCCTGAGCCAGGAGCAGGAGCTGAGGCAACTCAATGTCCCCAACTCCTTTCCTAGTTTTCATGTGAGCGATGGGGGAATTAGACGTGTATCCTGGAGTATCCTGGGCTGAACCTAGGAGGATCAGCCAGGAACCTCCACCCAGCTCTAGAACCAGGCATTGTCCTCCAGAGCTCTTAAAAAAAAAAAAATTAAAAAAATAAACTAAAAAAAAATAGAAAGAAGGAATCAGTCCAGCCTTGCCCAGCCTGGAAGGAAAACACATCTCTTGGGACGGTGATGAAAACCTGGGTGGCCCTTCCAAAGCCTGAGGGACAGGGAGCATTCCCAGTTTGCCCCTGCTGCCGAGCCCCAATGCCAGTGCCACCTCCGTGACAGGGACCTAGCAGTGGGGACATTAGAAATGCCACCAATTAAAGGTGGGGGCAAATTTTTACTCTGCCAGACCCCAGACCCACTGATCCTCTTCTGAACTCTGAAACTGTTCAGTATCCACCCTGCTCCCCCAAGACCCCAGTTCCTCCCAAGCCTGGCAACCCCAAAACTGACCTGACTGGGAGAAAACCTCACTCCCGGTCTTCCACCAGTTCTAGCCCCCTCATATGCCCTCCACTGGGATCAGGCTTCCACACAGGGCAACCCCAGTCTGCTTGGAGGTGAACCTCTGGATCCTGAAGCTTGGCATCCTTTCACTCTCAGATGCGTACAGCCCTACACCAAAAATGATGGGGCGAGCAAGTGGGGCTCCCTCAGACTCAGACTGGCACCCACCCACAAGTTAGTTACCCCCTGCTCAGGCCCCCCACAAGCTTGCTCTAATTGCAAATGCCAGGATGCAGGGATAGAGCTTATCTGGTGTTGGAGGAAGCCAAATTCTCAGCAGCTTTAGGGGAAAAGGAAACCAGAGCTTCCTCCCAGGGATCTACATGGGTGTAAGAGCCAGCACTGCAATTCCTGCAGCCAGACAAGTCATTGTGTCCCCTCACCAGGGCTCAGGATGACGGGGGACATGCTGAAAGAGGCTTTTGTTAGCAGTGTAATTTTCAACCACGCTCCCCTTGGAGCTCTGGGAGCCTCCCTCCTCTCCAAACACGCCACTTGCCCCCGAGTCTGGAGTGGGAGCTGGGTGCCAGCACTTCCCAAAGCAAAAGGAGACACACCCTTTCCCTGAGTGACAGCAGGCAGAGGCCAGATGGGGACTGGGGAGCAGAGGAGTAAGTGGAGACCCCTTCAAATGTCTGCTCCCCTCCAAAAGCCAAGTGTCCCTTCTCATCCACCAAACGTTTCAGGCCATGCCTCCTTTTTCCAAAAGAGATCCAGAGCCCAAATATTGCAGTCCATGATCCTTGTGGCAAACCGGCAGCATCTATCATGGAGCATGGAGAGATGGCAGAAGCTGCAGGTTTGGTTCTGGCAAAGGATGGCTGTGGGGATGTCTCTTGCTGCAGTGATTCTGCCATTGGAAAAGTCCCCGGGATGCTCCAAGCCACCATCCCGCTCCGCCATGACTTTCCTGGCTAGCTTGAGCCAAGGCTGCCAGCGTGGCCCTGCACATCCCATCCCAGCTGAGATGCAGGGGACCTCCAGCATGCAGGAGCATCTCAAGTCATTCCATGGGGTGCACCACAGCCCCCACTCACTGCTGACGCTGCCCATCTGAGACACCATGGCGCAGTCTTGGATGGGCATGCACCTCCCCTCTGAGCATCCCCATGGTCCCACTGCATCCCCCCAGCAAACAGAGACTCTTTGACACTGAGAGGACCATGTGTGGGACCCTTGTCTGCCACTACCCCCTCCTCTCTCCCCCCTACCCCCACAACGCCCCTCTGGCTCCTCGTTGGCATCTCCCGGCTATCACCCGAGGGCACGGGGCCGGCATGGGAACACAGCCTCTTTCAGAGAATTTGCGGGGGGGGGGGGAGCTCCTGCTTTCATCCCAATGTGCATTTCTCCAGGCACCAGCCACCTCCCTCGCACCCCACCTCCCTCTTGTCCCTTCACCCCCTTGCCCGAGGCATGTCTGGGTCCCCCCGTTTGACACACAGAAGGGTCACAACCACCAAATGACTAAGCTGGAGGTGAAGTAACCTCTCCTGCTTTTCTGAGCAGGCAGGGATCAAACATTAGCCGTCGGGTGAATCATTAACCCCAAAGTAAAGGGCTGTTCCAGGAGGGGGGAGCGTGCCCGCACGGCCACGGGTCACCTTGAAACCTCCTCACCACCATGGTGCTGCGGTTGGGTGGCCACAGGACAGAGGTCTTTCCCCTGCTCCCATGGGGAGATGCCAGGTCTCCAAGTGTCCCAATCCCAGGATGGACACCCCAAAGCACTGTGGCACTGGGAAACCAGCCCTGAATGCCAGCATGATGTTCTTGGGGAGCATCTCCTGTCCTGACCACTAGGACACTGGGTTTCACCAAGGGTAATGCTCAGCCTTGTGGAGGGAGTCAAAACCTGCTGGTTCTCTGAAAAAGCCAAGGCTGCATGGAAAGTGGTTTTGGACTCAGCAGCATCCCATGGGGACAAGGTAGCAGCATCCCTCAGCGCCTGGGGGCAGTTTTGGGAGGAGAGACACAACATAAGGATGTCACCCAGCCACGTTACCTGCAGAAGCATTAATAAAGACACAAGAATACCCTTCATCCTCCTCAGGGAGAGCATCGCAAGGCAGAGGCAGGCGCCCACCAGCCAAGTGAATCCAACACAGGTCTCTGACGGCCTCGCAGAAGCCCTGGCACGGTGGGGGGGTTACGGGGACCGAGGCACTACACCCGGGGAGCAGCAGCAAGCAGAGGAACCACTCCAGGTAGCGATGGCACCGCGATTCAAGCAGCCCCTCCCACTCATGCAAAGCCGCCCGAATTTCCTCCTCGCTGCTGTGGTGGAGGTAATTTGGCAATCGGACATGGCTGGTGCCCAGTACGCTGCAGAAGGGCAGGTGGGTTGGGATGGGCAGGCAGTGGCTGGCAGCTGGCATCAGTCCAGGAAAGAAGGATGGGAGCCCCACGCCACTACTACCGTAGAGCCGCATAGTGGCAGTTAGTAAATTGAACTCAAGAGGATTGGAGTTATCAGCAAGAGGAGGATTCACACCATTATCCACCCTCTGGTTAGGCAAGGGGGAGCTCTGGCTCCTGTTCGTGCTGGTCAGGGCCAGCCCCCGGTGGCCAGTGCCGTGCCATAGGTTCGGTGATGCTTCACGGTGGTGATGGGGAGGTTGTGCCACGGGGTCCTGGAATGGCACTGCCTGCTTATGGGTACTGTCACCTGGTGAGAAAGGAAAAGGGGCACTACCTGGCTGGGGACCTCCTGGTCTCTGCAAGGACATCCATGTCTCCATTGCTGTGGGGGTCCCTGTCCCCAGGAGCTCCGAGTTCTCGATGGTCCCTGTTCTCAGGAGCTGTGGGTCCTCGGTGGTCACTCTCCCCAGGAGCTGTGGGTCCTCAGTGGTCACTGTCCTCAGGAGCTGTGGGTCCTCAGTGTTCCCCAGGAGCTGTGGGTCCTCAGTGGTCACTGTCCTCAGGAGCTGTGGGTCCTCAGTGTTCCCCAGGAGCTGTGGGTCCTCAGTGGTCACTGTCCTCAGGAGCTGTGGGTCCTCAGTGTTCCCCAGGAGCTGTGGGTCCTCAGTAGTCACTGTCCTCAGGAGCTGTGGGTCCTCGGTGTTCCTCATCCCCAGGAGCTCTAGGTCCTCAGTGGTCCCTATCCCCAGGAGCTGCAGATTCTCGGCAGTCCCTGTCCCCATGAGCTGTGGGTCTTCAGTGGTCCTCATCCCCAGGAACTGTGGGTCCTTGGTGGTCCATGTCCCCAGGAGCTGTGGGTCCTTGGTATTCCTAATCCCCAGGACCTGTGGGTGCTCGGTGGTCCCCGCCCTCAAGAGTTGCAGATCCTTGTTGCTCCCTGCCCTAAGGACCTGCAGGTCCTCAGTGGCCCCTGTTCCCAGGAGCTGTGGGTCCTTTGTATTTCCCATCTCCAAGAGCTGTGGGGACTCAGTGGTACCTAACTCCAAAAGCTGCTGGTCCTTGGTGGTCCCCATCCTCAGGAGTTGCAGGTCCTCAGTCGTCCCTGACCCCAGGAGCTGTGGGGACTTGGTGGTACCCAACCCCAGGAGCTGTGGGTCTTCAGTGGTCCCTGACCCCAGGAGCTGCATGTCCTTGGTGGTCCCCATTCCAGGCAGCTGTGGGTCTTCAGTGGAGCTGCCGACCACATCCTGCCCAGGGGCAGGTGAGGTGCTGTGAGGAGGAGCGATGCTGGGCTGTGCCATGCTCTCCATCAGCCCTGAGACATTCCTGTCCCACTGCTCTGTGGTTTTGGCTGCGGTCCCCTCACCCGTAGGCGCTGCTGTACCAGGATCTGGCTCCTGCTGCTGTGGGGTGGTGACATTCCTCACCATCTCATCACCCCACGTCCCTGGGGACAGGCTGGGAGCAGGAGCTGCCGCTGAGGGTAGTGGCTCTGAGGCTGGGATTCCCTTGCTGGGTGTTGCTGGGCTTCCAGTGGTCTTCGTGCTGTCCCAAATCCAGTCCAGGAATTGCGTTTCAGAGGAGGAGAAGCAGCTAGCCAGGAGGAGTAGAAACCCCAAGGAAGGTTGGGCCATTGGAAAGGGAAAAGGAGCTCTGTTGCCTCCAAGAGCAAAATGGAGGAAGGAAAGGAGGGAAGAGGCAGGAGTTTTGCCCCAGCCAGACTCCCCGGAGCACTCACATCGCTTTCTCCTCCCAAGCTCCAGCACTCGACCTTTCAAACCGGAGCGGAGCAGTGGGAGGAGTGGCCGCGCCGGGCTCGCTAAACCCTCCTCTCCCCAGCGCCAACCTCCCACTCCCGGCACAGCCCCTCCGGGACTCCGCCGCCTGGCTGGGGACCCACCTGAGTCCCCCAAAACCTCTGGGAGCCAAGCCAGACTTCAGACGCACCCTACTAGCTGTTCCAGCAGCTGCTGCCAGCTGTTTAACTCCTTCCTGCCCAGAAAATCCTAAATCCTCTCTCTCTGCTCAGGTGGCTCTGGTTAAATCGACAGCTGTACCTGGTGGGGTCATGCATGGACGTGGCCCCCATGGATGCCACTAGTTTCAGTGGGACACCCTGCTCCAGGGCTTGGGAAAAGGTTATAACTTCAGAGCAAAACAGAACGAGGAAGGAAAAAAAAAAAGCCAGAAAACATTTCCAATATTTCCACTGGCCGGAAACACAACGAGTCCCAAAAGTCAAGTGTTTAAAGCCTCTTTCCCGTCTCAGTTACAGGGCCAGGACCCCCCAGGTGCCGTTGCAGGACGGCAAAGGGGGGCACTTGCAACCCCCCCCAACAGGCATCACACGCCAGACACGTCTCAAAGCCAGGTCTGAGCAATCACAAGTTTTCCAATCACAAGTTTTCTTGGAGCCCAGGACACAAATCCCTCCAGGCAGCACTGGGACTCTCCCACACCCCAAAAAATTGAATTGTTCTTCACCTCAGCTGAAAAAAATTCCCCCCAAATACACTCATCCAGCCTGTTTTCCCATATCAGCATTGTCCTGCTCTGGTGACAATGCCCCCTGTTCCTGGGGATCACTGAGCCCCTGGTCCCCTGCAGGGATGGAGCACACCCACGGCCCACACTGCCGTGGTGACACGGGGCAAGTCACCTTCAAGGCTCAAAAAGTGTCCCTGAGAAGGGATGTTGATGGGGAGGTGACAAATTTGGCTCTCCTTGGCCCCATGACCGGGAAAGTCACAGTCTGCCGCAACACGGTCCTACAGTGTAGAGCTCTCCTGTTGCTCTGGTTTAAAAACATCCAGGAAAATCACCGAAACCAATGTTCAGATGTCCATTTTGCTTTACACAACATTTCCCACACTGCCTTTTAAGCAAAACGGGTGAGATTTCCCCTTAAAATGGGAGCTGGATGCTGTTGCCAACAGCCTGCCCCATGACTGATGCTGTTAGGGGCGCCTGTTGCGGACCAGCCCACCGCTAATCCACACGGAACGCAGTTTTGTCTGTATGTCAGAGTTTCCACATGCCCCCCCCCCCCGAAGCTCCTGTGCTCCCATCAACCTGAAGAGAGAAGCCAGGCATCTGCCAACCCTCCCTGGCGTGTTCGGACAGGACCCTGCTGCGCCCGGCTCTGCCACCCTGGGGCCAGGGCACGGTGGCACAGCATGGTGTGGGACCCCCCCTCACCCTTGTGTCCTTGGCACACCCGAGAGGGGTATGAATGGCTACTGCCCCTCTCCCACTTGGTGGGATGGAAAAGCTTGGTGTTCCCACAGGCTCTTCCCAAAACTGGGGGGGGGGGATAAGTAGGGTGACAGCCAGCAGCAGGGATGTGATCCAAGCCCCCCACAGCTGCCTCCTGGAGCCAGTGGGGAGCATCATGCGCCCTGATGAGATGCCTCATCTCAGCCGGGAGGATTTCGGCAGCAGCACCATGCTGGGGTACCTCAAGCGTGTGCAGACATGATGGCCAGCCAGAAAAATTCCCATTTCTCCCTTCTATTGGGATTAGGCAGCTCATGATAGTGGAGTGGAACAGCAATCCCGTGAGGTGCCCTCGTTAAGTCAATGATCTTCGTTTCACTGCACACCTCCATGCCGGCAGGTCCCAGGGGAGGAGCCAGGGCTGGGGCATCCCAAAATAAGGGACTTGGGATTTCCAAAATGGGCACTCAAGAGGGTGGGCTGGTGCCACAGGTGGCACTAGAGCGTCTGGACCCAGCGCACCCAGCTCCACCACTGACCAAGCAGCCAGGCACTCGGAATGTGCCAGCTGGTGAAATATTTTGGAGAAGTATTTCCCCAAGGAGAAGTCATGGCAGCTGGTTTGCAGGGAAAAGAGCAGGGAAAAGCCCTTGTTTTAGCCTCCTCCAGGCTGAAGGCTCCTAAAAAGCACTTTGCACACTCCACAGGATGCTGCTGCCAGCACGTCATAACCTTGAACTTCTTTAAAAGCAAATTTGGATCCTCATTCTGGTCCCAGTTCCCTCCCAAATAGGCTGGCTGCATCTTCCCAAGGCCGTGCAGCATCTGGTGGTGCAGCACAGTCCATCTGGAAAAGGAGGATTAGGTTGCCCTGAGGCACTGAGGGCTTGGTCCTGTCCCAGGAGAAAAGAGAGGGAGAAAAAGAGGGGGGAAAATGGGAAAAGAAAGAAAAATGGTGGGGGGAAAGTGTGGAGAGGGGAGGAAAAAAGAGATTAGGGGAAGTGTGGAAAAAGAGAGTTGGAAGAAGAGAAGGGAAAAATGAGGTGGAGGAGAGAGTTGGGAGAAAGGAGAAAAGAGGAAAAAAACAGATTGGAGAAGGAAAAAATGAGAGGGGGAAAGGAGAGAGAAAAGAGGGGAGAAAGGAGAAAATAGGAAAAACAAGAGGAGGGGGAAGGGAGGGGAAGAGAGGAGAAAAGAGAGGGAGACAAGGAGAGAGAGGAGAAAAGGGGAAGGGGAAGAGGAATGAAAAAAGAGAAGGAAACAAAAAGATAAAGAGAGGAAAAAAGTAGGGAAAGAGAAAAAAGAGAGGAGAAAAAAAAAAGAGGAGGAAAAAAGAGCCTGTCATGCAGATTTCAGACCTGCAGCATCCCATCCATGGTTAAAGAACACCGATGATATTCTCTAAGGGCCAAAGTGGGGCCAAGCGAGCAGGTTTCAAGCGACCCCGGCAGCTTGGGGTGGCTCCCTGCAGGATTTTGGGAGTGGACAGGGACCCTGCCCCAGCCCAGCTCAAAAATTCCCCCCTCCACAGCCCGAGGACTCCCCAGCAAGAGCTGGGTGGGCAGAGATGGACAGATGGATAGACAGGCAGATGAACTAGTGGATGGACAGACAGACGGACAGCAGAGGGAGCCTCAGGCCGAGCAGTGCGCAGGAGCGTCCTCGGGACATCCCACTTTGCTGGACCCATCCCGGTGATGCCCCATCCCGGTGGCCATCTTGGCCACCAGCCCAGAGCTCACTGAGGTCTGGGCAGAGAGCGCAGGTGAGGGGTTGTCATCTGCAGCCTCCTTCCTCCCGCTGCTCAGACCTCTGGGGAGGGCCTCACAAACCACGCGGGGACCCCAGGTTCAGATCCTGAGCCCCAAAAGATGAAGTGCAGCTGCAGAAAGAGTTTTAATGCCAAGAGATTGAGCCACAGAGGGTAAGACACCCCCCAGGGAAGGAAACCTTGACACCAGCACAACCTTGACAGCGGTACAGCTAGAAGGAAGGAAGGAAAAACAGAAGGGGAAGGAAAGAGGAAAGAAAGGGAAAGGAAGGGAAAGGAAGGGAAGAAAACTGAGAGCAGCACAGCCAGGATGCTGGAGGTGGGAGCGCTCATGCACTGAGCAGAAAAATTCAGGGACTGTCAGCAGCAGATGGCATCTATAAATCCTAATGACATTTGGGATTTTAATCCATTCTCCATCTAAAAACCCAGACAGCAGTTAAAAGGCCCTCATTGAGACGCATGCCGAGGATGTTGCCACATCCCAAGCCATTGACCTCCCAGCCCTCGGAGAGAGGCAGCAGGACCCAGCCCATGGATGGGCGCTCAGCCAGGGAAACGCGAAGGCAGGGGATAAGGATGCACGGGGCCAAGCAGGCAGGAGTGACAGCACCATCATAGCCCCAGAATTGACACAGGTGCCGGTTTGCCAGGACTTGCCCTCGGGCCAGCATTTCCCCCCACAGCCTCTAGCTGTGCAACACCAGGGAGCCCCCGGGACAGCAGCATTCCTAAACATTTACTCACCGAGAGCCAGAAACATCCTCCCGGCAAATTCCTCGATAAGATAAACCATGAAAATGTCACGACTGCCTGGGGGAGCCATCAAATAACCCCAGGGGGAAAGCACGGTGGCTGTGCCCAGACCTTACCAGGTCCTCCTCCTGCTCCCAAACTGAGCAGAGCTAGATGAGGCACAGCCAGGAGATGCTGCTGTCCCCCTCTGCCCCATCAGCATGAACAGGACAAGGCAGCAGAGAACTGGGGCTGGGGTGCCTTTGACCCACGAGATGCCCTGGGGGGAATGGATGGTGGAGAGGGGCCATCAATGTCCGGGCACAGCAGAATCCAAGGGAGGTCTTTAAAGGTGCAAGGAGGTCTTTAAAACACAAGGTGAGCTTGGGGTGACCTGTATCCCCCAGTGCCACCAGTGTCCCTCCCATCCTCCCTCCACAGGGGCCAAGGTCTCTGCTTCCCATCACTTGCCTGCCTCCGGGGCCCCCAGATGGAGATAAGGTTCTAAGGTTTGGGAGGTGAGGGAAGGAATGCGACCCCCCCCATCATCATCCTCCTCCACGTTAATAAATCACCTTGCAGACTAATTGCTCCTTGGAGGGGGGAAGACTCACCTCCTCACCCCCCACCAAGGTCCTGGCTCAGTCTGGGAGATACTCCTGAGAAGCCCCAAATTTCAATCACATTCCTGGCATTTTTGCCTCAGCATGAAGCCAAAGGGGCTCAGCAGCAGTGGCAGCGCCTGGTGACCACCCTCGGGGCAGGCATGGGAGTCTACACCAGTTAATGGAGGGGGGATCAGCTGCTGTCTCCATGAGGGACAGGCAGGACATCTCCATCCCCAGGCCTCCTGGGAATACAGGGAGACCAGTGCACTCAGCATCCTGGCTCACAGACAGATGCTGTGTGGCAGGACGAGGGGAGATAAGGGATAGGACAGAGGATTTATGATCCACGTCAATGCCATCCCTACCTGAAAATCAGAGAAGGACAAGGCACTCAGGTAGCATACATGTCCCTAGAGCTCAAACAAAGCCTTCC